GACAACTACACGGATAGCAGGGTTAAAATTATTGCAAATGGTCTGTCAACCTTTCATCTCTATATTTTGGAAGCACGAGCACATGTGTTACTAGTTTGTCAATTTTTTGTAAGTTAAGAAAATCAGTTTACTGCATAAAATTATACATTATATATAAATTATAATGTCTAACAAATCATATGATGTAAATGCTGAATTAACGAGTATGTAACTTAAGTTAAATTTACTAAAATTATTTTTGTGTATTCATGGTGCATTACCTAATCCGGGGTGTAGAAGGTTCGTGCCTATATCATATGTATAGCTTTCTTAATCAATAAATCATATAAAACAGTAAAATATGTAAGTACTCGATAGTTATTCTTGGAAGTCCTAACGAGTTCGTCAACTTCAGTCCTCCTGAAATACAATGGGGAGTACAACGTTCGTTCTTTGAGCACGTGTCTTCACAATAGTTAACGTCGACCCTCCAAACCCGAGCTTTACGACAAGGCTTACTACGGCAGGACTTTCATAACTTCACCAAAATTTTTCAAATATAACGTATATTAAATGTATGAAAACTTTTGTTAACTTCGTTGTTACATTTTTATAAGTGATTAAGTTACGGTATATAACATATTTCTTACTCTTACCTGAGTCTTATCTCAAACCACGAAATACGTTCTATTAATTTGGTAACTTACACATCCAACACACCACAAACACGGTAAGACTGTAAACTCTAAATAACACGCAGAGGCAACAACACTGGGAACAAGTATCCACGGTATAGCGTCATCTGTTGAGAAAGTACTTAACTACTTGTTTTCAAAAATATTTGAACACTTTTTTAAAATAAATAATCAATAGTTACTTAGAAAATCTAAATATATAATTCCTAGATTTTCGTAAGATATTACATGAATAAAATGAATATTGATTATATACACTCACGTGAAGTTTGAACACACCTACACTATAGCATCAGTTCTTAATTACACAACCAAACAAAATCTGAGCTATGATTATCTTACAGTTTATGCAGTCTCTTTAAACACCATGACACCCACCATACCCAGAACTTAGGGTGATATGGGAGTTAATTTCTTGAGTGAAATATACAAGAGTATTGTCAAGCATATTATCTCACAGTGAATAGCAAACTTTACCAACAAACAGCTCAAAAGTAACGTTTCGAGTAAAACAACTTAACCAGGCTAGTCCAAAACTATAGATGTTGAGACGATGTGGTACAGCTGGTGTACTTTGGACGTGTAGCCACACCTTTACATTCTTTCATTACGACTATGTTTCTTTTGACGATGTGGTACAGCTGGTGTACTTTGGACGTGTAGCCACACCTTTACATTCTTTCATTACGACTATGTTTCTTTTGATGATGTGGTACAGCTGGTGTACTTTGGACGTGTAGCCACACCTTTACATTCTTTTATTACAACTATATTTCTTTTGACGATGTGGTACAGCTGGTGTACTTTGGACGTGTAGCCACACCTTTACATTTTTCATTACAACTATATGCTGGGATTTTGAGTGAATTTGAAGCCGACACGAATTTTATTTTTAATTGCAAGTTTTCTCCAAGTGGAAATATTTTTGTACTGACTTCAGAAATGTCTAGCAAACTGATAGAAAATATAGGTTCGAGAAGGTTTGAATTGGTAGTGAAAGAAACTTCATTACCATCAGGTACACATTGTTTACATAGATACAGAAAAAGTGGCTGTTTTACAGTTTTCTGGGTTAGAAGCTTGTCTCATATGCAACTTCTTCGTGAGTGAATAAGGAATCTTTGTTGGCTTATTATTATTATTATTGTAGATAAACTATAATATAAGAAATCATAGTGAGAAAAAAAAACGAACTGTTTTCTGATTTTCTCACGAAGTCTCTAGTTTTCTTAAACATGATTTAGTTTTAATAAACATAACAGAGATAAATTATTTTCTTCGCAAATCCCCCCCCCCCCCCACCCACACACACCTTCGGAGCATTGAGCTCTTTCACACTTACCAGTAATCTTATATTCATAAGAGTTAAACGCCCCCTGAAACTTGAAGCTAGAATTACATTTAATGTTACTGTTGACTGTAAAGGTCACAATAATATTTCTTGTGTTAATATTTTTAGGAAAAGAATATAATCACGTGAGAGGTTTAGTTAAACCTATAATGCTAAAATTTATATTATTTGGAAAATGTTTTTAATATACTTCAACTAAAGATGGGAAATTAATACAATAAAGAAATTCTTTCCCAGTAGCTCAGTGACAAATCTGAAGGCTTATAACGCTAAAAATCGGGTTTCGATACCAGTGGTGTTCACAGGATAGATAGCCAGTTGTATAGCTTTGCGCTTAACAACAACCAAAAGAAAGAAATATCATTATAAAGTTGTGTAATATAGTCAAGAAAGCGAGAATTTTCTGGGTTAATAATTACTTTCTTTCATAAAACCTGCAAATAATTTTTCTATATTTTACTATAATTTCGCCTCAGATTCGTTTTTTTTATTGATTTTGTAAATATTATTCAATATTACCTTTTAGTTACTGGTTAACTTCTTTTGAAAAGTGTACTAACTGTGCTTCGGACTAAATAGTTATTAGAAATGATAATTATACACATAGAAACGCTTCAGTCAGTGATTCAACCACAGCAGCTGTCATCACGAAAGTTCGGTGATTCAACCAAAGTAGCTGTCATCGCGGAAGTTGAGAGATTCAACCAAAGCAGCTGTCATCACGAAAGTTCGGTGCAGCTGCTTTGGCTGAATCACCGAACTTCCGTGACGATAGCTACTTTGGTTGAATTCGTCACGGAAGTTCAAAGATTCAGCCAAAGTAGCTGTCATCGCGGAAGTTGAGAGATTCAGCCAAAGTAGCTGTCATCACGGAAGTTGAGAGATTCAACCAAAGCACCTGCCATCACGGAAGTTCAGAGATTCAACCAAAACAGCTGTCATCACGGAAGTTCAGAGATTCAGCCAAAGCAGCTGTCATCACGGAAGTTCAAAGATTCAGCCAAAGCAACTGTCATCACGGAAGTTCAGAGATTCAACCAAAACACCTGCCATCACGGAAGTTCAGAGATTCAGCCAAAGTAGCTGTCATCACTGAAGTTGAGAGATTCAACCAAAGCACCTGCCATCACGGAAGTTCAGAGATTCAACCAAAGCAGCTGTCATCACTAAAGTTGAGAGATTCAACCAAAGCACCTGCCATCACGGAAGTTCAGAGATTCAACCAAAACAGCTTACTGGGGCAGAAAATTCCATCATTTCTGAACCTGCTAAATTGGAAACTAACCAAGCCTTGGAACTAGAATTAACGACTTGCTTTTGGAAGATTTCATTCAAAAATCTTCAAATATAAAGAAGTTTAAAAATGGGAGAATTTTTGTTTTGTTTCATAACGGAAGAAATATGAGTAAACTGACAAACCATTAAAATAAATACAACAAACTTCTTCACATCCCAGGACTCTTAGAGTTGGAAAAATCGATATGAAAGCTAATTTTTTTCTGTACGCTTAAGTCAATACGGTTGCTGTTTTAGTCTACAGATTTCTACATATATATATATATATATATAAGTATCATGTTAAACCACGTGACAAACTCATTGACTGTTGTTACTTTAGAATAACTGTGAAATGATATGCAATTCGGACAGGGTTAAGGGAGGTGGTATACGTGTCATAGGTCAGCTTTGGTAAGTAATCACTGGGTTTTACGACTGGGCACGACTCTCTACTGTTTGAAATCAGGTAACACGATCCGCTTTACATAAAAAAAAACATGTTAGAAGGAATAGTAGTATGATTTATTGATCCTGTGTTATCCATTCCATTTTTCTTCACATAATATTGTTCGTTCTTACACCGAAACACGTCTAGAATAGATCGAATCTTATTGTACTTGTAATGCTCGCTTCGTGCTTGATCACGCGTATATCACGAAGAAAACTAATGAAAGTCTTCACAACGTATTCTTCTTCGCTTATAAAACAAATTCTTATAACTATGTCGTTATCAGCAACTAGGGTTACAGTTTTTAAATAATATTTGTTTTGGTTAATTTGTCATTTCACGTCCGCTAGAGGACAGCACTGATTAGAAAGTTATGTAAAAGACGGATGAAGCTTTTTCAGTTTCTTGAAATCAAAAACATCAGGAAATAATGTTTGAAATATACATCTCGCCTTGTTGGATACTGAACAATGAACAGGAACTAATGTTTGAAATATACATCTCGCCTTGTTGGATACTGAACAATGAACAGAAACTAATGTTTGAAATAATACATCTTGCCTTGTTGGATACTGAACAATGAACAGGAACTAATGTTTGAAATATACATCTTGCCTTGTTGGATACTGAACAATGAACAGGAACTAATGTTTGAAATAGACATCTTGCCTTCTTGGATACTTAACAATAAACAGGAAATATTGTTTGAAATAGACATCTCGCCTTGTTGGATACTGAACAATGAACAGGAACTAATGTTTGAAATAGACATCTCGCCTTGTTGGATACTGAACAATGAACAGGAACTAATGTTTGAAATAGACATCTCGCCTTGTTGGATACTGAACAATGAACAGGAACTAATGTTTGAAATAGACATCTTGCCTTCTTGGATACTTAACAATAAACAGGAAATATTGTTTGAAATAGACATCTCGCCTTGTTGGATACTGAACAATGAACAGGAACTAATGTTTGAAATAGACATCTCGCCTTGTTGGATACTGAACAATGAACA